ACAAATATTTTACAAATCAATGGTTCTTTGCCTGACATAGATAGCCCTTGACAAAAATAAAATTTCAAATTGCACAGATGTTAAATTTTTGGGTTAATGTATAGATAGTAAGTTATGTTTCAAGGCCCACATCTTAAATCTTTGTTCAAAGTTAGCAACAGGCTGTTTTGTTGTGAGAGTTGTGTCACGTGAACTTAATATAAGTATGTCTCGTACAGTTTACCTTTCTATGGTAGAGTCCCGCATCAGATATGGTAATCCTTTCTGAGGAAACTCTAGCCAATATTTACTGAACTCCGTTTTTGTGTTGCAGAAGCGTGCCATAAAGTAAATCTGCAAAACTGGTATTAGAAATTCTTGCAGGCCTTTGTTTATCAGGCATAAAATTCTTATTCTAACAGGTCTCTATATACTGGAAACAGTTTCCTTGGTGCACAAAGGGCACATACCTCGACTATGGGCGGTAGCCCTTACAACACGAAACAAGTTGGCATGTTGTCATTGCCTATACCTAGGGATATAAAATGGCGGTCATTTATTTTTTGTGTGTTCTCTCTCATATATCCTGCGGAACTCCGTGAGTTAACTTTTGCAACTCCGAGTCTTCACAATTGAAAATCCTTACAAGCTGACTGCGGTCCGCACGGTACGACCTGAACCATCTATCTCAACCCCCCATCCACTATCCCATAGCGACTCAGCTTCTGCAGCAGTATTTCGTGATCTACACAATCGAAAGCCTGAGAGAATTCACAAAACACCGCCGCAGCCTTCTCTCCATCATTAAGACCCAGAAAAAGTTTCTCCATGAAGGAAAAAATGGCATCATTTGTTCCTTTTTCATCTTGAAAGCCGAACTGATCTGGTATTAAAATGTTGTTCCTTTCCAGGTTTTCTTAACTAATTTTCAATCATTTTTGAGTGTTGTGAGCAAGAATATTGGCCGTTTACACAGTCAGTAAGAGTATCAAGTGCAGAAACCGGAAGATATTTAAGCAGTTTCAAAGACATTCCATCAACTCCCGATTAATTTTGTTTTTTTCTCTGTTCGTCGGAAATAACTGAAAGTTTTCTGCATAAGAGAATGCAGGTAAGAAACCAAGTGGATTTTTTCTCACTTAAAAATTCACGTGGAATAGAAGTCATTCACGTCTACCACGTAATTCATTTATTATATTCCAATATTCTCTGGTTGAATTTCCTGCGTAGTGCTGTTCCTTTGCTACTTTTGTGACGCAACAAACTCGCTTCCATTGTTGGAGAGTGGACTGTGCAACACCATGTTTTGACTTCAAAAAGCACTACGCAATCAACATGAAAGACATTGGAAACAACACAGTGGCAGGCGTAAGTAACATCCATACTGATGGTTCCAAAACGGAAACAGGCTTGGGATGCGGAGTAACCAGTGTTCACTCGCTTGCAGAAACGTGCGAATATAATATGAGCAGTTCGAAAATGGACTCATTCGAGATAGAATCGTGGTTGGAATAAACCAGTAACGGCTTAAAATTCCAAGCCCATTTAACATTAGACGACTGTGTCAGAAGAGCTAATAAGCAAGCTGAGGTACAAGCTTCCCAAAGAAGGGAGTTACTTCAGGAAAGTCGGCAGTGACAGGTAGCTGGGATATTCAAGTGATAATCAAGACAACAAGCATTACAAGCACAACTTCACGCAGGATTCCAGGAGATTCGAGAGAGCGGAGAAAAAAGTGTTGGCTTTGTGGTTTGCACCAACATGGTAAACAGAGACAACTGTCCAGCAAAGAATTCAAAATGCAACAATTGCAAGAAAGTAAGACATAGGGCCGTGGTTTGTAGGAACTCCAATAAATAACCCAAAAAAACAAAGAAATGATTTTCTAGGGTATATTAATCTAAAAATAAATAATATTGATTGCAGTGGAACACATTTATTTGTGTCTAAGCTAGACAAAAATGTCGAGTTTTTGGTAGATTCTGGCGCAGATACAAGCTGTATTCCCAGCAGTTTTTTAACTTCACATTACTTAGCAAACTATAATGGTAAAATTATTGGTCCTGCTGGTTCCAAGCTAGAAGTTCTAGGTACTTTTTCTGTGAAGCTAATTAGAAATAATGATATTTGTTCAACTGATCTGTTTATTATAAAATGTTTAACGAAACCTATTTTGGGACTAAAGCTGCTTCAGTTTGCAGATGGTGTAAGTCCTAAAAATTGTGCAGTCGAAAGCACTAGTTTGGGTAAAAAAGTGTTACAAGATTTTCCCGATTTATTTAAAAATGTAGGCACTTTTAAAACCAAAATGGTTATTAAAGTTAAAGATGGGTTTCAACCTTATGCACAAGTAGTGCCAATTCCCTTGCTAAAGCCACTTAAATCAGAACTTGAACGATTAAAAAAATTAATTCTAATTCAGCCTTTTGATGAATACACTGCGTGGGTCAGCCCCATATAGTAGTTGTAAATAAAAATTCTAAAATCCGACTTTGTGTTGACTATACTTAACTGAATCAGGCCGTTTTGCGTCAATATTTTCCTATCTTAGCTCAAATTCAAGGTTCGAATTTTTTTAGTAAGCTAGACACAAACTCAGGATTTTACCAAATTCGTTTAAGTGAGGAATCTCAATACCTGACCACTTTCATTACTCCCTTTGGCCGATATTTTTTTAAAAGGGTTCCATTTGGAATCACGTGTGCACCAGAATATTTTTCAATACCATTAAACAAAATCCTTTCTGGAATAGAAGGTGTTATCAGTCAGACGATATTCTTATTCATGCGCTTACACAGGGAGCAGCATGACAAAATTCTTTTCCGTGTTCTTTTCAGAATTAAGTCTAAAGGAATAACGTTGAATTCGGAAAAATGCCTATTTGGGTCTCAATCCCTGACATTTTTAGGGCATGTACTTTCCGAAAATGGTATTTCTATCGGCCCAGAAAGAATTTCTTCTATAGAAAAATGTCCAGAGCCCTCAAATAAAACCGAGCTGTTGCTATTTTTGGACAATAAATTTTTACCTAATCGCTCACAGATTTTGGACATCTTTATCAAAAAAACATGAGCTTTTCGTGTGGGACGTGGCACAAAAGCAATCCATTGAAAATATCAAAAGTCTTCTTCAAAATAGTCCTTTATACTTTGATCCAAATCAAAAAAATGTTGTTTCCGCCGATGCTTCTTCCTAATTTTGGCATTGCAGCCCGTCTGTATCAAATATCACTTGATGGAAGGAAAAAAAGAAATAATAGCCTCTCTCCAGTCAGTACTGAACATAGGTATGCTCAGATTGAACGTGAGGCTACTGCTTTAGCTTGCTTGGGCAGCATTAGAGGCAAGCATGATAGGATCATTAGTGAATTCATGCAGAATGGCCATGGGGTGAATCCTAGCAAGACAATAATTGTATCATTCACAAGGAAAAGAAAGCTCAACTGGATGGAATAGAAATAGGCCTTTCAAATAAAGTCGAATATCTGGGCGTTGTCCTAGATCAAAAGCTCACCTGGAACTCATATTTAAAAAGAATAATCGATCGAGCAACAGTAACGTGCTGGACATGCCGAACTATTCAGTAAAACATGGCGCCTAAAGCCTGATCTATTGGTTATATACGATGATTATAAGACCCCTGGTCACATATGCTGCATTGGTGTGGTGGCCAAAAGTGAAGCAGCAGACAGGGCAAAACCGATTGGCAGTTATACAAAGGTATGCATGTCTTGGAATAACAGGTGCCATGAACATCTGTCCAACCGCTGGTATAGAGGTCATGTTAGATATCATCCCTCTGTAAATTGCAGTGAGGAGGGAGGCCTACATGGGGGCCTCAAGGGTTATACGATCTCTAAAACTAGAGGAAGGGGACCTTGTTGGACATATGAGCATCATTAAAGAATGCCATGGTTCACCAACAAAACCGGTGGACATCATGTCACCGAGATACGAATTTAACCACCTTTTTAATGTGACCGCAGAAGGCCGCAAAAGTGACAAGATCGTACATAAATTCCCAAACAAAAAAGAAGGGGTCGAAGTGGGCGTATATGGCCCAAACTGCAGGCTATCGGTAGCTTTAGGAAAAAACCCCATCATATTCTAACCGGAAACGTACGCAATAGAAGTCTGCGCCAGAAAGTGTCTTGAAATAGACCTACGAGGTGCAAGAATTTTCATCAATTCTGACAGTCAGGCAGCACTTAAGGCTCTTAACAGCTTTTTCACTAAATCCAGACTAGTCTGGGACTGTCAGCAACTTCTAAAGCAACTGGCGAACTGTAATAGAGTCACTCTAGTATGGGTACCAGGACACCAAAACATGAAAGAAAATGAAATAGCGGACCGGCTTGCAAGAGAAGGCGCCGCGTCACCATTCCTCGGTCCAGAACCCTTTTTTGGCCTGACAAAAAGCCATGTAAGAGCCGAACTCAAAAAATGGGTAGAGGCACAACAGGCTTCCCATTGGAACAATACTCCAGGACTTAGACAGGCGAAGCAATTTATCTCGCCAAAGTCAACAAAGACAAAGGAACTACCCGATTTCAGCAAACCAGACTTGAGGCTCATAACGGGTCTCCTCACCGGACACTGCCCTCTTAGCTACCTCCTGAAAAAAGAGGGTAAAACTGAATCAGACCTTCATTGCTTCTGCAAAGAAGCATCCGAATCTGCCGAACATACACTCTGCCAATGCGAAGCATTATGTCACAGAAGACTCATTCATCTGGAGAAGACACATTTGACTGCTGCAGATGTTAAACAAACCGATCCCGTAAAAATCGTAAGATTCGGGAAAAGTCTCAGTTTGGGAACCTACTAGAAAAAGGGGAAGCACAATAGATCTATTCAGGTCGCAGTACATAGAGGTCTATCACCAAAACGCCCCTAACACAATCTAATCCAATCTAATCTACCTATGAGTAAATACAATCCAAATTCCGCTTCTCTAAGGAAAATAGACGCAATCCCAGAGTAGATGAACTGCAAAAACAGATACGATAAAGATAATCGGGAATAAGAGCGAAGTCAAAGATAAAATAATCAAAATGATAGCAAGGTAAGATGTATTAATTGCGGATTTTTAGGAGATAAAAATAATAGCCAATCACAAGATGGAAAAATACATATACAGTTACGTCAAACGTTGCAATATACCATATAGGTACCGAGCGGTTCAAAAGTTAGAGGGGGGGCAACGGACTTTATGTCCTCACTGTATGATATCCCATGGGTATTAGAACCGGTATTATTTTGCGGGCTGACTTCGTTTTTTGTCTGCAAGCTTTTGGTTGTTCGTTAGTCGCACTGCAGTGTAGCGTCGCTTCGGTTCTACTTTGTTGCTGTGTTTCCGTTAATTCGCATTTAATAGGGGCGTTGGCCGACAGATTTTGTAGTGAGGTTAAATCCGGGATTTCGAGGACGAAGGTTCTTTGGAGTGGAGGACTAAGGTTAGTATAGTGGATGAGATAACTTCTTGTATCTTCCTCTATATTTGGCTAATAAATGGTAATAATCTTTTCATAAGATATAGGTAGAACGCAGTAAATAGTATGCTGCATCGTGTTCTGTTCTTCTGCTTTGGGATATTTGTCCCCATACAACATTACTGGCGGCACTATAGCTATTGGTCGGTGGAAATCAAGTAGGACACCAGCAGCGATAATATGACATTCCAGACGAACATTATACTGTGTTTTTCCATTCCTGCATGTTTCGGAATATTGGCAGGAGAGTACTGGTCATAGGGTTGAGGATAAATTTTTTCAACGTGGTCCATGCTGCTGGTACTACATGGTGTTATGGGGACATTATTTTTTATCTATTTGGAACAAGAAAACCTTTGTGGGATCAGTAACTCTTTGTTTAAAAATACTTCACAATTGCAAGGTAATACTAGTTTCATTGCTCCTGGTGCTCCTCTTCATCGTTACACTAATTTGTGTAAGTTCCTCCATGTTTGTAGGGGGTGCATTAGGGAAGCTCGTCAACCAGTAATATTGATAGTGGCGTCCTCATTGAGCTCTTGTTGGAAAATCGTTTTGAAGTCTTGAAAATTGGGTGGGGATTTATATTAGAGGTCGTAGAAGTAATTCCTGGTTATTTCGTCCTTTGCCTGCATTCGGTCGTTCAGCTTTTGTCTTCGTATGTCGATAAACGTCGTGTCCTCGAATTCTTTTGTAAAATATTTCGTCCCCCTTCCTTTATATTTTCAAACCACCAGGGTTGCTACTCCTACTAAAAAAGTTTCAAAATAATATATTATCTTGAGGATATCCGTCCATTTATTTGCGGCTGCCATCCTGTCTTACACTCTTACAGAATTGTCAGCGATATTTTTTGGGGGGTCGATCGTTGGGGGGCCTATGAATTGTGATACGACCGATTTCTTCTTGCTTGTCAACGCGTCCCTTATTGTTGAGTCTTTTAAAATACCGCGTCGTCCACTTCTATATTTGTGCTACTGAGGGGAGGCTCAAACGGTGGTTCCTTATTGGCGGAGCGAAAGACGTATTTCTTGCTCATCTGGTTAATTTACGCGTTGACCTGCTTAAACTGATAATTGTTGATAAACCGTTCTCGGCGTGTTCTAGTTTCAATTAATTTGATAAACAGGATGGTTTTTATTTATTTATAGACCAGTTGATAATACGGTGGTATTCAGCTGGATCAAGGACAAGGCGATAAAGCACATTCTCTGTGACTGCACTACTCTTCCGCCAATACGCAGAGTCAGATTAGGCCAATCGTACCTATTACTAGAAGAGATCAGAGGCCCCGCTATCGATGACGTCATCGCCTACTTTGAATCCCTAGGCTGGTTGACGAGCTAAGGATGACCTATCATCTTGTGGAGGCGCACAATGGGCCTAATGTGGCCTTAGTGTTATGGCATACCACCCTCCCAAACCTACAAAAACATATACAGATCTCTATAGCTTAACTTTAATTTGTTGAATAGTCAAAAATCCAAGTTTTACATTTCTTCAGCTTAATTCTTAGCTTAGAAGCGCCATGAATAGAATTTTAATGCCTCTCTAGTTCAAAGTTCAAAAATGAAATTCATTTAAACAATGATTGACACTGAAAAATCTAATCCTTCAAGTTGAAGAATAACAAACCACCACTCATAAAACCAATTCAAATATTATTATTTAACCTAACTATTTAAACAAAGACCTGATAAGATTATAAACAAGTGACTCTCTTATATAAATAGGCAAATTAAATTCCTCAAATTTTTCAGCTTTATCATGGCTACCGATAATTACACAATCCCAAACGTGGAAAACACAGTCAAAAACATCGAAGGAACCATCAAAAACGTAACCATATCAAGGTTAACAGCTCCAGGAGAAAACTTCTTAAGCCTGATATTCAAAATCGACTTCGAAGTTGAAGACCAAAATGGGCAAACAAAAACAATCAGTACTGTTGGCAAGAGATTTCCTTTGGGAGAACGACCAGGAGGAATGGATTCCAAATCAATGACAAACGAAATCAGATGGTACCTGGAAATGGTACCGTTATTAGTGAAAAGTGCACGGCAATATGAAATACCTATCGAGTATTATCCCAAATATATGGGTTCAAGATTTAGTTTGGATCCAGAAGTCAAAAAAGCTGATGCCGAATCTGTTTTGTTGCTGGAAAATTTGATTCCACAAGGTAATATAGATTATTATTTTAACTTAAATTGATTTTTTATATATATATAGGCTTCAAAAATGAAGACAGGCACATTGGATTTGATTTACAATCAACCAAAGCCCTTTTAAGAATGATGGCCCAATTCCACGCTCTACCACTTGTAATGAAATTCAAAAATCCACAAGCTTTCAGTGTTCTTAAAGATTTCCTCGATGAAACTAAAATGGATTTCAAAAAGCCTCCTGCAGAAAAACCCAAAGATGGCAAGCCTCGATCACCTCCAGATCATTCAATGGTTTTCGATGTAATGCTTAAACTGCCTGGATGTCAAAAGTATAAGGAAAAATTGGAGGAAATTAAAAATAAAACTAAAGCGCCTCCAATGTCGCATAAACCAGGTCCAGAACCCTGGAACACTGTAGTTCATTGCGATTTTTGGGTCAACAACGTTATGATTAAGCATGTAGAAGGCCAGGAGCCCCTAACAAAACTGGTAGATTTCCAGTTTTACCGTTATTCTACATTTGCCAGAGATTTAGTGTTTTTCCTATTGACTAGTGTGAAAAATCAAGTCCAGCTGGAACACTTTGATGATTTGCTCAAATACTATTACAACCAATTGACTGTGATTTTAAACAAATTCAATATTTCTGAGTTGGAATTGCCTTATGATAAATATCTGGATTTAGTCAAAGAGGCAGCATTGGAAACTGAAACCAGTCACGCAATTATTTTTTCGACTGTGGTTTTTGGTGCTAAAGGCCTGGATAATCCAGATCCGCTTGTTGGAGAGGTTGACATGATGGAACATATGGGAAATATGATTAAAAATATGAACGATATCCAGAAAACGAAGTTGGAATTGATTTGTGAATTGGCCGGAGAGAGAGGATGGTTATAAGATGTTGAAATATTTTAAAATAAATGAAATTTGCATTATTGGTCTTGGGTAGTGTGGTAGGGTATTGAATTCTCTATAAAATGTTCCAAATTAGTTGAAGAAGCTTATAGAGCCTCTGAGCTATTGAGCTTTAAATTTAAAATTTAGCCAGTAAATCAAGAGCTGGTGATAATCAAAATTTTATTTATTACCGGCTCTTGATTGGTTGAAAAAATTACCCAGCAATTCAAAGAGCTGGTAATAATCAAAATTTGAAGTTTGAGAACTCTTGGTTTCCCTGGAAAAGTGTTTTGGCCAATCACAAGTCAGTAATAATCAAAATTTGAACTATTACCGACTCTTGGTTGGCTAGAGAAATTCCACAGCAATTCAAGAGCCGGTAATAATCATTGATTGTCTAGTCTAGGGATATTGTTTTATTATAATGATAATAATTCCTATGTATACCTTACCACATGTGCATGGTATACAATAGACTCCAGCGCTCAATCGTGGGTTCCTCTTATCCTTGGCTGATCTGAGTGATTGCTGTATTTTCCTTGTTGGCTTGAAGATTGTTTTTATGTTGTGTTTCTCCAAGACTTTTCCTATCCTGTCTATCACCCGAGAAATGAAAGGCAAATATGCATTAGCCACCACTGGTGTTGTGTGGCAGTTTTGGGTCGCATGGTCCTGTCGATTTCAGATGCATTGTAACTATTTGAAAGAAAGGCCGACTTGAGATGATCCAGTTCTTGCTCGAGATAATGCGGCTCGCAGATGTTCCGAGCACGTTCTGTTAACGTTGTTATAATTCCACGTTTTTGCCTTGGATGGTGGTTTGAGAGTGCATGCAGGTACCTGTCTGTGTGTGTGGGTTTTCGGTACACCGTGTGGCTTAGTTTTCCTCCAGATTTCTTTATGAGCACGCCTAAGAAGGCAATTTCCTGGTTTTTCTCCTTTTCCATGGTAAATTCTATGCTAGGATGTTGCTCGTTCAGGTGGCCTAGGAACTGGTTAAGCTTCTTTTTCTCATGACTCCAAACCACAAAAGTATCATCTACATATCAAAGCCATACTGTTGGTTTATGGTCAAAAGATTCTATAGCTTTCCTCTCGAATTCTTCCATAAAGAAATTATGACCGTGCTGAGCGGACTTCCCATAACTACACCGTCTGTTTGCTCATAGAAATCGCCGTTCCACAGGAAGTAACTACCAGTGAGACATGTCCGAAAAAGTTCAAATATGTCATTGGGGAAGGTACTTGATATCAACTCAAGAGATTCCGTCAATGGCACTTTTGTGAATAGGGACACATCAAAGCTGACCAGGATATCATCAGGTTGAAGAATAATATCCCTCATTTTCCGGACAAAGTGAGTGGAGTCCTTGACGTAGGAGCTAGTTTTTCCTACATGAGGTTGAAGAAGCGATGCAAGATGTTTTGCTAGGTTGTACGTTGGTGCTCCCGGTGCACTTACTATAAGTCTTAGTGGGACTTCCGGTTTGTGACTTTTGGATAGGCCCTAGAGTCGTGGTGGAACTGCTTCTGTTTTTATGATGCCTTTCTCAACCGTGTCTGTTAGGATAGATGACCTAAATAGTTTGTTGGTATTCCGGAGTGTGGCTTGTGTGGGAGCCTTCTTTAGCTTTCGGTAGGTAGATGGATCAAGGAGTTCCTGAATTTTCCGGTTGTAGTCTTCAGTTCTCAACAAGACAGTTGCGTTGCCCTTATCCGCAGGTAGGGTGATCATATCTTCCGCTGAATTCAGGTTCCTAATTACCAATAGTTCCTTCTTAGAGAGGTTACTGGTTGGTGGTCGAGCGTTTCGTAGAATGTTGGCCATCTCAATACGGATTTATTGCGCTTCCACATCAGGTAGTGCTCTGATGGCTGCTTCAGTGCTGGGGAAAAAACCCCTTATCGCTTCAATGATATTACAAATGTTCTGCTTAAGATCTTCCAGGCTATTTAAGCAAAGGATTACAGCATCTTTCCTTGACATAATTCCAGAGAAAAAAGTCTGGAACTCTCAAGTCAGGAGAGTAAGGTATAGTACCCCCATATCCGTCTTTCCCCAAATGTCATGCCTAGTGATTCCCTTGCTTTTAAAGAATAATCAGGTAGGGGCACTATCCTGCTGGTATCATCCAGGAGTTGATCCTTCAAATCTGCCTCTTGCTACTCTGACCCAGATAATCAAAAGAATCACCCTCGCGAAGACTTCACATCCATATAGGATGAGACTACCTCCTGTTAACTAACTAGGCAGCTGTTCACCTACCCTAATGAAGTTGCAGCAAGAACGTGTCAAGGAAAAAGCTTCGTTTCACCACAGAATCTCTGACAGGCCACTGCCAGCTAACAAAACATTTGGCTGGACGATGGCCTCTCCACCAAATCCATATTCCGATGGGCAGAGGGGATTTACTAAACTTTTGCGCAGAAAAACAAGAATTAGTAATAGCGAATACGTGGTTCGAACTCCTAGCTAGAAGACTTGCTGCAATCTGCAAGAGCCAAAAACAGGATCTTTATGCTGCTTTAGGTCGCAAGTTCAACTCCAGAATTGTCAAAGCACAATGTTTCATACTGCTCCAGTTCAAGCCAGTTCTGTGGACAAACTTAAAAACATTAGTCCTAGGCCTAGTAGAGCCGGGAATCGGATTTTCATCCCTGTGTAGCTCTATGAAAGCCGAGAATAAGATTTTTACGCCTTTTTACTCCAGTTTCAGCTCTACAATTTGCAAGGCAAGAGCTAAAAATGAGCTCTTCAAGTCAATTTAGCTCGATTATCAATGAGAGTAGAGTCACGAGCCAGGAATTATCATTCTGCAGCTCAAACTTCAGCTCTAGGAAAGCCGGGAATAGGATTTTTACAGCAGAAAATAATACGTAGATATATTATGTGGACAAAAACAGTATAAAAGACAAGAAAATATTGACCAGTAAGTGGGTGTTCAGGAGTGAAAGACGATGGAAAATATAAAGCAAGACTTGTGATACGTGGTTTTGAGCAATAATATGGTACCTATAGACTTTCATGAGACTGTCAGCCCAGTGGTAAATATGAGTTGCTTACAAACAAGTACTTTTTGCATAAAGAAATTTGACATTAAAACAGCTTTTTTATATGGTGAATTAGATGAGGAAATATTTATGGACGTTCCTGATGTCAGGGGTGAGGGGGGTAAGTATAGGTAAGTACATTTGTCTAGAAGGAACATGGATATTGACTTTTGCCAGTAGCTCTGGACCAAAGCTATATGAGTGCAATAGATTATAGAATATGGTAGGATTCCTGTGCATGCGTCTGATCTATAGAGTAGTAGTATTGAGGGAATTTTCAACCCGTGAGTAATTGATATCTTCAACTTCATGGCGTTCCTTAAATTAAATAAATCTCAAGAATTTCTCTTAATGGATATGGACATTGTAGTGAGGGGACCATACACAAGAACAGTAATCTAGATGAGGCCTCACAAAGGCATTTTGATGAATACTATATCTTTAGCACACCTTTTAATAAAACCTAGGCTTTTGATACTGCCATTGATATATGGGCTATAAGATAAGTTGGAATCAAGGACTACACCTAGATCTTTAATTTGAGATACAGATTCCCAAGGACGACCATTTATAGTGTAGACTTGTTCTGTTGGATTCCTACTACGACTGAGACCATCAGATGGCACTATTTAACATACCATCAATTTCGCACCAGTTGCTGGGACAATCTAAGTCGGCTTGCAGTTCTAGGCAATCAGTACCTATTATTCTTGATTCTTATGTAGATTATAATTTTAAGTAATCTCCAAACATTAGGAAGAAGGCAAAGACAAAAGAGGATGCAATATCATTCACATATTAATTAGAAAGAAGAGGGCCCAGGTGTGAACCCTGGGGTACACCCGATGGTACTTTAATTTCTATTAATTGGAGTCCCTGAATACGCATTATCTATGTTCGTTCATATAGGTAAGAGGAAAGCAATTCTAGAAGGACACCCTGAATTCCCAGACTCTGCAACCCATTAATCAAAACTCTATGGTTAACGCCTTTGCAACTTGAACTTTGGTAACCTCCTTTCAAGGTTTCAAGGATTAAGTTCGATGGAGCCATGAAAAATGAATTCAAATTGTTGATCGATAAAATAGCCTTTTGAACTAGGAGACAAGTAATCATAAACAAGACTCTCAAATATTTTAGGGATACAGCTTAATATACTGATGGGCTGATAATTATTAACCTGTGAACTATCTCCAGACTTCAATATGGGAGTGATAAAGCTTGTTTTCCAATAGGCTGAGAATATCCCAGAGAGGTTAAAGATATGGAAAAGAGGTCTAGAGAACAAGAAGTTACAGTGTTTGATAATTGATGGTGGGAGGCCATCAGGTCCTTGTTGATATCCAATTTGGATAGTTTTTCATTGATAGACGAGATAGGTATGTTATATTCCGACAGATTGATGTACGTAGAAAGCAGAATGTCCTGGAATACACAGTATTTATCACTATACGTTTTGGAAAAGTAGGTATTCAAGAAACAAATTGACAATCCCAACTCTAGAAGAACTAGTAATACCATCATAGCGCAATACATAAGGTATATTATTTTTGGCTTTACTGCTGTCAACAAATTTCCAGAAATTTTTAACATTATCTCTAAGTATCAGTATCTGATGACCTGTCCTTTCGATATATGTTGTAGTCAAACATATGTAGTTCAGCATCATTAATATCGCCAGTTAACCAGGTATCACTAAAGACTAAAACATCATATTGGTAATAAGAGATATTTTCATAGAGAAGTTGAAGTTTTGTACGTAGGCCTCTGACATTTTGGAAATATATATGCTTTCTGGTCTTACTTTGGCAAGCCTTTTCAGATTTTTGTAATTAATTTAGCTACCCCATTTACATATTTCAGTATGAGATCATGTTCACAATTTCGTTGTCTCTCCTTGAGTTCATTTTTTGAGGCCTTAAAGCATATCCTTTGTCTCAGAGATATCTTCAACCTCATTGCTTAGGGGCAAATTAAATACCATCAGGTCACAAGATCTTCTTTGTCTCTCAGAGACCTCGTGCATTACATTACCGTGCACCAATGCATTGTTTCTGCTGTCTTTCTCCTTGGTTGAAGTAGACTATAATGATAGTGTCATTTTTAATATCTTGTATAGGGAGGCTAAAAAGCTAGTTTTCACACTTATGACACTTGATATCGAATACGATAGCTCCGAACGTAGGTATTGTGTAATATATGTATTGAAATATCGAGGAATAGAATTCGAGAACTCGACTCGTAAAATAGAATCCGGTAGTTGCATTATGTTTAGACATAAAAGTTATCGAGAAACCTCTTTCAAACAATCTTGACTGGCTCTTGATTATTTAGAGAAATTATCTAGGAACTCAAGAGCCAATAATAATCAAAATTTGAACTAGGTATTATCGGCTCTTGATCGTCCAGAGGGAATTCACTCAGAAAATCGGCTCTCAATAAGGTTCCAAAAGTTAATAGGTTGCTTGGTAATGCTAAATAGATGACGTCATCAGGATGATCTTATGCTTTTGATCATCCAGGGAATTCACTCAGAGAGCCGGTTATAATCAAAATTTGAAAAGCTTTTTTTCCAAAAGAGAAATATGAAATTAATGTCTGAATTGGCCGAAGAAAGAGAATGGTTATATAGGAGTTTTGCAGCAACTTTTTATATAAAAACATTTTAAAATAAATCAAATTTGCATTGGTCCATATAAGCATTGTATCGTCCTCTCACTGCTCTGACCATCTCGTCTTTGTATTTGTAAGCAGTTTGATCAACTGTGGAGTTTTGATTGACGCAATCGTCTCCTCCAAATTCGCACACCCTGTAATGATGCATGAAAGCGTCTAGGGGATTCACGTCCAAAACACCTAAAAATAGGATTTTGTACTTCAAAACTCAACTCAAATTATTCTTACCATATTTTCTTCTATTGAAATACTCCCAAATGAAATGATTGCCAACCATATTGACTAGCTCAGGCCTTATAATGAACTTGGATCTTTGCCTGTGAGGATGAAATTCTGTTTTTCTTCTAGTTTTTCTTAGGGTTATTAAGTTGTTAGCTAAAGGATCCTGGAATAGGGTTGGATCGTCAGGCCATTGCCGATAAAAAAAGCAATTTTTAAAAGAAAAAGTACTTTTGTTTCGGTTGTTGTTGCTTTCAAGCAACTGCCTACAATTCAAATATTCATCTATAGTTGTTTTAGTCTTTTTAAGTCTTACTCAAACAATTCGCTATAGGTAAAATTATTCCTTGGAATAATATACTCGTCAAAGTCAATGAATATTGTATGGGAATAATTGTGCATCGTCCTAAAGAGGCAATCGTTTAGTGAAGCAAAAATGCCTTCAGTACGGATTTCTTTTTGGGAAATCAATGGTAATTGCCAGGGTAGTACCGTTACTAAACCTTCATGCTGGTACTTTTGTAGAAGACAGTCGATTTGAGGCGATACTGAATGGTTGTAGAGGTAGAAGTGGTCTACGCCCATTATTTTGTGGAGTTCGATGAATTCTAGAAGCTCGAACACCTATAAAAGAATATTGTGATCACATTTTTTGAGTTGGTTCAAGTTTATAGAATGAGCAATATGAGTACTTTTAGTTTTAGAGCACCTTTGTATTAAATAATGCTCTAATTACACTATAAATTGCTTTCCAGAAGAGCAGTCTTGATGAAAGGCTTGGTTTAAAAGCTTAATAATCTAGTTTTAGAGCAATTAGGAGTCATTTTATAGTGCTTGCTACATGAATTGAATTTTACTCATCAAGTGATTCTTTCTTGACATTTTGGCGATTCAGGATTTTTCTCCTGTAGAATCTTGAAGAAACTCTGATTTGAATTATCAACTCTTAAATTTAGAGTATTCCAGACCAATTTTGAACTAAGAATTACTTAGACTTAGAGCAATGCTTTGAGTCAATAAAGAGATTAGTAAAAGTACTCTAAAGCAAATCTATAGACAAATTTAGACTGTAACTTATATTCATCCAGAGATTTAAATAGGTACTCCAGAGCAATTATGGAGACTAATATAGAGTACTCTAAAGCTCAATTTCGTATAAATTAATGCAATTCTAGCCACTGTAATCTAAAGCAATCGTAATGACTTACATCAATGAGTACTTATACCAGACTAAGTTGGCTCTAAAATCTGCAAATAAATACTCTATTTTAGAGCCTCACCTTATTGTAATCATAATGCAAAGGCTTAACACAAACCGCCAATTTGCTCAAACTAGGACTCAAACTGTCAGGATCCCAAAGTTTATCCTCATTATAGTTTTTAATAACTTTCAAAATATTCTTAGGGCTTTCTTCGCTACTGGTTAACAAACTAACAGCATCCGGACCCTTTGAATCATCTAAAGGACAAGTTATGAAGTAGGCGCTGTAAGGCAGGCTCCAGTGTTCTTTGATAAGCTAAAGGCAGGATTTTAAAAGTCAATGTTAACTTGAGAGATTGTTCTTACTGTAAACATTCCTGGGACAGTTTTGGTTCTGAATTCTTCGTCTTTGTACCACAGTTTGCACCAAACATTGGGCCTTTTCCTCCTCAAGACTGTTACTGAGATTATTTTTAGGCTTTTGCCTTTTCTGATGTCCAAAAATGCCGAAAATACTAGGAATTTGATGCTGTAATAATCGATTTAATAATATCGAGACTATAAATCATAATCCTAATATCAGATTCTAATCCTAGATTAAGCCATTTATTTTCCGCACACTTTTTTTTTACTTACTTACTCGGTCATGTTTCCGACATTTTGCCAATTTCCTGTTGAGGCATTTTGGAAATTGGCCTTTATAAACTTGTAGTCGTTAAGATTCTCCTGAAAAAAGACGATAAATAAGCATTTAGTATACCAGGAAAAACTTCTATACCATTCTTGAACTGAAAAAAATATCCTCTTGATCATCGAAATCCGTCTTGTAATGGCTCACATACAAGAAAATTTGCATTAAAAGTATCAATGCAGTTATTCGCAGCCATGTTACGAATGTTAAACAACGAGGCATTTTGGCTGGAAAAAATTATTTCAAATAGTCATTTTTTTAAGATTCAGGCATTGAAAATATAAAACAATGGTTCACTATAAGCTGGGAACTACTGGAAGTTTATTATTGTCGCTAGTTAATTGCCAACACGATAATTTATAATAGTAGAGGTACTTTCAATTTGCGTTTGAAAATAATAGAAATATAAATTAGAATTTATCATTCAAGTGCAGAGCTGGACTATATAAGTATTAGAATAAATTTGTACCTATAGGTACCCGTTTTTTGGTATTTGAGTCGGGTTTTTAGATTTCTTTCCTCTCAGTAAAATCAGTAGCTTTAAAAAAGAAATGAAATGAGCTTCATAGTCCATTACGAGAAGCTTCAGAAGAGAGATGTTTCAAGAATCAATTCTAGAATTTTTAGAAGGAATGGAAATCAAATTTCCTCTGACCAAAACCAGAAGTTCATAGGGGCTTCAGAAAGAAATGAGTTCCACAATCCATTACTAGATGCTAGTTGATTTTTTTACTCATGAACTGTTTGAAGTATTAATTTGCAATTTGTAGAGAAGTGAATGGAAGGTTTGAAACATGTTACAGATCTCAGGCATCTCTAGGCATCTCAGCCGAATCCAAGATGTCAAGCGACCCGTGTCGATGGATGCATGGCGGTGGAGGAGCACCGTCGCAAACGGAGCCTCTGAGAAACCAGGCGTCATCTCGGAGTAAACATCCTTAGCTTTATGCAGGGGGCATCGTATAGCCTGAACACCCTTGCCCCCTCACTTGTGGGACATATTATGGAAACACAAATAGGAAAAAACAAACCAAAAGACCAAGAGATGGAAGTAGAGGAAATCCCAGTGATTCAACGAACTGGGTGGGGCCAGTTATGGCAAGGTTGTGTTAGCAATCCAGTTGGCTGTCATCACAAGTACTTATCCTGACACTAAGATGACAGCAGAACAAGGGAAAAAGGTACAAAAAGCCATCCTCCAGGAAATCTGGGAGTGCCATCCTGGAAAAGGACCCAAGTTCAACCATAGCAAGCAGAACATGGCATGGTACACTTCCATTGCGCAGACAACGAGACTGCGAAATGGCTAAAATTGGTAACCCCAAAACTAAACCCCTGGGGAAGGGGCAAACCTGAGGGTACTACCATCCAAGGATGTCGCTCCCAGAGTAAGGGTATCGATGTGGATAGGTACCCAAAGAACATCTTGTTGGTGACGACAAACTCCGTTGTCTAAAAACTGAAAACCCAAAACGAGGGTATAGACGCTGATGACTGGAAGGTGTTCAACATCAAGGTAGAACCAAGAGGTTCTATTCTCGTTGTGGAAATAGACGAGAACTTTCTGGAGGTACCTACTAAACAAGAAAGACCTTCACGGTCCTCGATTCAAAACCCAAAAATGCTGCTAGTCCTTCAAATAAACTTACAGCATAAGGAGGCTGCAACTGCTGCCTTCTGTAAAATCTTCGATGCGGGGGGCATTGACATGGCTCTGATCTAAGAACCCTGGACGTCAGGGATCAGAGTTATGGGTCTATGCAACATCAGAGGTGAGTTAATCTGTAAGTCAAACTCAGAGAATGTAAGAAGCTGCACTATTGCAAACAAGAGTATTATAGCAATGGAAATCACAAATTTTTGCTTTAAGGACATGGCAGTAATAAAAGCTTGACTACCAAGAAGCAGGGAACACTAAGGGGGTCATTAAAACTTCTGTGAACTTGCCATATGACTTCCCTAATCCACCTCTATCTGCAGAATTGGAGAGATTAGTGCAATATTGTGGGCTAAATAACCTACAGATTCTTATTAGAACAGATGCCAACGTCCATCCAATCGCGGTGAGTAGGTACTTACTTGAATTCATTATCTGTAATAACCTAGACATTCTGAATTGGGGAGCTAAATCTACTTTTTTAACAAAAAATAGGCAAGAACGTATTGATGTAATTTTGGCGTCTCTCGGAATAAGCTCTCAAATATGTAAATGGAGGGTCTCGGATCATAGGTATATTCAAATGGAAATCAAACATATTGATAAACCAGAGCGTGTATGTCGCAACCCTCGTAATACTGACTAGGAGAAATACCGACAGGACCTAAGACTTAAACCTGACTAACATTAAATCGGTAATTAAAATAAGAACTTTATAGGAGATATACTTCTTCTCCTATGTGCAAAGATGTCCTTATTTAGTAGATTCACTTTTGATACTTCAAATTTAATAAATCCTATGAGATTGAACTGATTGAATTTAAAGTACAGAGACTTTAAATTATTTGGAACAGAATAAATAATTATAATAGCCTGTGCTCTTCTTCTACTCTCCAATGTTTGGAATCCATAGCCTGCATGCATTGACCTGTAAGATACCAAAAAAGGATAAACATTATTTTGTTTTACAAACAAGAATCCTAAGAACCTTTTCTGGATCTTTCCAATTAGGTCGCTGCCTACAAACGTCACAGGTGCCCACATATTGGTAGCATATTCCAAGTGTGGGTGTACAAGACAATTATATAACTCCCATAAAATAGTAATTTATTTAATAATATTCCATGGACTACATGGTCAAATACTTTAGACAGGTCAGGTTCCAGCTGTTCACCATGTGTAATTGTGTAATAGCATTTGCAGCGGACTCAGTAAACACACAGAGTTTTCTAATACCGGCCCTAATAGGCCTATAATTGATAAATATCTTCAGTTTGTCCGGAAATTTGTTTGTTACAATGCCCAAATTAAAAATACCAATGGCTCAGATAAACCTTCAGCACAGCCTTTGATTATATATGAGGGTGTGCCATCAATGCCAGTTGATTTTTAACTGTTTAATACTAGCAAGAACGTCATTCTCAGTAACCAGTGGAAATTTAAAATTTCTCCAATCCTGGCATTCACCATCATTAGTTATAGTGCTGTTTTGGTGAACTGATTTAATGTGTTCTGCAAATATTTAGGCAATTTCTTTTTCTTGACAAAAATAATCACTTTCAAGGGTTACTAATTCTGCTATGGGATCCCAAAAACTCTGCGGATCAATATTTATGTTTAGCTTCTAGCATTTTTTGATAGGCAACAAATTTACTCTTGATTTGGTGTTTAACTTCGGTTCGCAGTCGTGAATACTGAGTAAACCTTTCAGAGTTTGCAGTTTTTCTGTTTAGTTTTAGATGTAACTTACTTTTCTTTTTTAATTCAACTCTCAAATCTGGTGAATACCAAGATGGTAAAGCTTGTGACGACTATTTTCAGGTCTAGCGCTAAATTTTAGAACCGAACTGATACCCTCTGACACACATTGTCCAATACATTTGTTTTCCCGAAATATACTGTGAATTCCAAAGCCGGATGATAGACATCCTCCTGTATTAAAGACAATAAGACCTAAAGACATCAGACAGACACATATTTGAGATTACCAAATCCAAACATCTACACCTATGGTTAGGAATCTTATTGCAGTGATTCAAATTGTTTATGTTCAGGAAATTTTGCAAGACAACATTTTTACTACAAGTAATATCACATAGGTGAGTTAAGAATATTAAGGTCATCTATGACTAAACCTTTTCCAACAGTATTTTGGAAACCTTCAATAGTATTTAAGAATAGTCATTTGTATTCAAGAAATCCCCATAGGAATAATGGAATAAATAATTATTGTATTTGAGAAAGAATCATTTGTATTTTGGAATAACCACTTAAACTTGGAAATGCTTCAAATGTAGTTTAGAATTACTTACCTATGTAATATGCAGTATACCTTTGTCATATAATACTTTACCTTTGTCAGGTGTCAAACTTGCTTTCCCTTTATTAGGTCTTTGTCATAGAAGTCTTTGCCTTCTACTACCTATATTGAGTTTTTATATTTAAAGTGATTTTGCATTGATAAGTAATTGTGAAGCTGCAGAAAATGAATCTTCGAGACAATTGTGGTATTTGCATAGTAAGGAGATCAATTCTACAAATGGTTCCCTGAAACAATGTCTTCCATGCGCATTGTGTTGAAGAAGGTAGGCCTAATACACCAGGATCATTAGGTTCAATGTGTAGAGCCGAAATAACTGGATGTTATTATCTACATTCATTATACACACATTATCTACAACTCAACATTCCACTACCTTTCCTGCTGCCGCGACAGGCTTAGAAGACATATTAGTTGGACAATAGCATTGTTTTTTTATATGTTATAAGAGTATCCTACTTATGTACATACATAGAGTTGCATAAGTATTATAAATATAAAAATACTGGCTGATTTTTTTGAAATCCCCCTATTAAGTCAACAAGAGATGTTTATCTCTGTAAGTATGTATCAATGACATCTGTATGTATACATACCTACATGTAAAATTCAATTTATCGTTTCTTAAATTCAAATGATTGTTCCTAAAATTCATATGATGTTTCTAAAATACAATTGCTTCAATCTAAAATACATATGGCTTTTCTAAATTACATTTGAAATTATCGATAATACAATTCTTACTTCTAAAATACTTTTGAATATTTCGCAAATAAATTTGAAAAATCTAAAATACATATGGATCTTTCTGAAATACAAATGTTTATTCTAAAATACAAATGACACTTTCCTAAATCCAAGCTTGAGAAAAACTGCGACCTGCATAACCATCTAACTAGAAACTGTAACCAAATGTACATTCCAAGATCCAGGTCAGAGGTAGGGAAGAATAGTATAATTCGTCGTGCTTTGGGTTCCTACAATTCCTTATCAACGGAAATTTCAAGAATATCCCAAAAATGTTAAATTATTCTTAATTTCAGAAAATGTATAGAACCAATTAATTAGGAGGTACCTGAATTTAATTATGTGAAGAGATCATGTGCAATTTTATGGTTTGTGGACTATATAAGGTAAATACCTGTTTGTTTGGTCTTTATCCCAGAGACCCATCTCAGGCCAGGTCATACAGACCAATCAGCTTATCGTCCTTTATGTTGAAGGTGTCAGAGAAAATTGTTGAGAGGCACATCAGGGAAACCTCACTGAAACAGAGTCCACTTCACCAAAACAAACATGCCTTCCAACCAGGTAAATCATACGAATCAGCTCTACACCAACTGGTGACAAGGGTACAGAACTCACTAGAAAACAAGGAAATCGCACTAGTGGCATTTCTTGACAAAGAAGGAGTTTTTGACCATACCTCCTTCAACTCCATAGTCAGAGCTGCTGGGCAACATGCGATTAATGATACCACATGCAGATGGATCAAATCCATGCTAAAACACAGGATTATTGATGAAACCTCTATTAAAGTAACCGCGGTAAAAGGATGCCCATAAGGCGGAGTACTTTCACCACTCTTGTAGAATGTAGTCGTTGATCGTCGTTTGAGGAAACTAAACGATCAAGCTACTTCACTCTAGACTACGCAGATGACATAGTCGTTATCATTATGGGAGGATTTACCAGGATGGTATCAAACCTCATGCAAGACGCCTTAGGAATAATTGAGGAATGGTGCACGAGGAAGCAACTTCGCGTCAACCTCTTCGGTCCCCTCCAAAACAAAACTTATTCCTTTCACGGGAAAAAGAAATCTGGAGGACTTAATCGCCCCCAGTCTATTCCAAAAAAACCTTGGAGTTTGGCAGGAAAGCTAAATTTCTAGGCGTCAACATAGATTTGAAGCTGACATGGAAACCATACATCCAAAAGATAACCACCAGAAGCAAGATGACGTTGATGTCACTAAAAAAAGCGATTAAGAAAACATGGGGAATAAAACCGTCAGTTTAACACTGGATATACACTACGGTTGAAAGACCAATGATAACATATGGTACACTTGTGGTGGCCTAAAGAAAATCAGAGACAAGCAAACCTGGAGTTGGCCGAAATCCAGAGACACAGAAAAGCACACCAACGGCAAGTATGGAAACGATCCTAAACCTCCCATCAATTGACCTTATCGTCAAAGAATCAGGGCATATTGTCTCTAGCTGAACAAAACCAAATGGACATGCGGCAATCACCAAAATAATCACAAACCCGATTTTAACCATGGCAAGCTACTATATGATGCCGAAAAAATCCCTCGAAAAACCCTTCGCCATCGAGATTGTCCCAGTAAGAAATACTGGGGCAACACCTAAACAAGAGATTATCTGGTTTACTGACGCCTCCAAAACAGAAACTGGAACCGGCGCTGGAATATATGGACACACTGCCAAATGCCACAACAGTCAATCAATCCACTAATTCCCTCAAACATCCTTCCCTCAACAACAGGTTATGGGTCCAGGCAGGACTTCAGCAATTATCTAAACCCTGTGATCAGTTTATCTCCAGTGGGTGTTTTTCTTTGTGTTTTTTGTTTGTCGAACTCTGACCAAGATATCAAGTTATCGGTTAGAGAAAGTGGTAGAGAAAACTATGACACATGGTAAGAAAAACTACGATACAAAAGTTCTTCGTCAAAACATAGGTATCTAGAAGTGAACACGAAAAACTGAGGGATTCTGTTACAGACACTAAGAAAGGTACCAAGGCTTGGTCAAAAATTATACTTATCTTATTGCTAGTTGATCCCCTGAACTATGTTCATGTCCAGGCCAGCTAAAACAGCTAGTACATTTCAAGATACAGGATTAACACGACGAGTTGAGAAGTTTGACAACTACCAGTCAGTCTCGAAAATAGTGATTCGGTCGAGGACTATGTTAATAAAATAATAATTACAGCACACAAGTTATCAAACATAGGTTTAAAAGTTAGTGATGAGTGGATAGGCACTATTGTTTTAGCAGGTTTACCCATGGCCGGATTAGGCTTTCATGTGGCCAGGGGCTAGTGAAGTTTTAGGGGGCCCTTTATAAATTAATTGCAGGAAAATATATAAAAAAAACTATATTCCTGATATAACAAGACACTGCTATACCTATGTAGATGTTTTACAAAAATAAGTCAAAATATCTTTTCTCGTAACTCAAGCTTAACAAATTCTTGTACCTATGACGTCAGTAAATTCTAACTCCTTCAGAACGTCCCTTTCTATGCACATCAATGTTAATGATTCCTCCTGCATTGTTGTTTTTGTTTGCGAAACATGACGCGAAAGACTAGTGCATTTATTAGTTATTGTTTGCCCACAGGCCCTTGATCAGCAATGCCTCAACGTGTGTTTCTTAAAAGTATGGCCCCTGGACCGCGGGGCCTGAATATGACAACCTTGCATAATGGTTCTGCAATGTTTAATGCATCAGGTGAAAATTGTAAATACAACTTATGGCACAGGCGCTTAGCACATGTGAATTCAACAAGTTTAAATAAAATAAAAAATGGATTAGTCCAAGGTATTGATTTTTTTGACAATCTGATTCAAGAAATAACATGTGAAGTATGTATATTATTAGGCAAAATTCATAGATAACCATTTAGAGACAGTGATTCTCACTCTCATACATTCTGATTTATGTGGTCCAATGCAGGAGAATTCATTGTCAGGCTGTCGATTTATGCTTACCTTTCTGGATGATTTCAGTCATAAAAGCTTTGCGTATTTTCTGAAATTTTGTCGAGACAAAAACAGGAGAGAAACTTAAATAATTTAGGACAGACAATGGTGAAGAATACTGCAACAATAGTTTGATTAAGCAGCAAAATGGTAAAGGTGAAAGGCTTAATAGGACAATTATTGAAAAAGTTCGTTTTTTATTAATTGAATCTGGTTTATCAAACAAGTTTTGGGCAGAGGCTGTTTATAAATCTATCTATGAATTGAATCGCTTGCCAACTAGGTGTGTAGAGAAAATTCCAGAAGAAATTTGGACAGGGAAGAAGCCGACAGTAAAACATATGAAAATATTTGGTTGTTAAGTATTTTTTTAGGTATCAGTAGAAAAAAGGAAAAAGTTGGAACCCAAGGCGATTTCATGTATTTTTATGAGATATAGTTTAGAATCTAAAGCTTATAGACTCTATAATGTTGAGAAAATAGAGGTTTGTTTCAAGAGTTGTTCATTTTATTTAATTTCTCTATTGGTAAATCAAAATAATCAAAAGACTCTACAGGATTTTTTGTATCTTGCGGAAATAGTTGCTGAAACAAAACCAGAGAGAACCTCAAGAAAATCATATTGAAGAACACTATGAAGAGGACAATCATCAAGGGAGTAATTCCAGTACTTCTTCAGATAAATATGCTGATTTTTATTTTAATTTTTTCGAAGAGGAAATTGGATCCAAATTTATTTTTGTTCCTGAACAAAATATACCAGAACCACAAGAAGAAGTTCAGAGAACACAGCGAACTAGAAATCAATGAGAGATTATGTGACATATTCTACAGTTATCGTACAAAATGGTGATCCTACTACTGATGTGTAGCAAGTCCTCAGTCGATCAGATAAGGATTCTTGGCTCTCGGCAATGAAAAATTAGTTTGATGCCTTGGTTGAAAATGGTACCTAGGAATTAGTAGATTTACCATCAGGAAAAAAAAAACATTAGACTGTAAATGGGTCTTCAAAACCAAAAGACAAGTGTCACAATATAAAGCACGATTAGTTATAAAAGGCTGTGCACAAAGAAAAGGTATTGATTTCGAAAAAACCTATTTACCTGTGCTATAAGGTACATAGCTCTAATAGATATTTACTTGCTATTGCAGCTGAGCATGATCTGGAAATTGAACAGCTTGATGCAGTGACAGCTTTTGTACAGGGTGATTTGTCAGAAGAAATCTACATGGCTTCTCCTGAATATTTCTTCAAAACCAACAAGGTTTGTCGGTTAAAAAATCATTGTATGCTTGATGGAAAACCTCAAAAACCTAAGTATAGCCAATAAGGTAACCTTTAAATGGGTGCCAGGCCATAAAGGAATTGAAAAAAATGAAAAAGCTGATGCTCTGGCACGAGAAAGATCAGCAACCAGTTATAATGGTTCTGAAACGGCAATTGGCACACAAAAATAAACCAATGGATGTATAGACAACATCAAACCTACTGGCAAACTTTTCCAAAGCTCAGACACAGTAAGCTAATGGTACAACAACCATCACCTAAACTTACTGAAGAAATCCTACAACTAAACAGTAATCAAATCAGGCTAATAAGTGGACTTAATACTGGACACTATAGCCTGAGAAAACACCTTTACACAATGGGCATTTTGAAGAGGAGTGAACGGAATATTTGAAGCCTGTTTCAGTAAAGTTTCAAGTTGGTTGAATGAAATCATTATCAAAAGTTTCAGAAAATAGAAAGAGCTTCAAAAAAGATTACTAAAAGCTACAAAAGAAGAGTTGAATGATTTTGCACATCCATTTAAAACAAATACCTACTCAAAGTTCCAAGCCCCAGCTCTAGTGCAAAACATATAGGTAATTAAAAAGCCTATATGTCAATGATTATAAAAATATTGAATATAATAATGCAATAATATTATTGGGTTTAAATAATGTCATTTACTTACCAAAAAAAAAGAATATCTAATATTTCGCACACCTATTACACTTCACATTTTTTTATTCCGAATAAAAATACATTTTTACAACGTACCATTCCAGAGGCTTATCAATATTAAATATGTATTGTAACATTAGCCTTATCTCGTCTATTTGTTGACGAAATTCGCCACCCAATAATTTTTACACAGATTTTTATTATATTGAACTGATTGTATCAATGAGACATTAATTTCTAATAATAGACCAGGCAAATCTTATTTTTTTTAATGAAGTTCAAGGGGACAGGTTTTTTTCAATGGAAATCGATGTATTATATGTCCAGGAACAAATATATAAAAATCCCAAAAAATCCACTGTGAGCTAAAAACGCCATCTTAAAAAAACATGGCCGTCCATTTTGAGTTTAAAATTACAAAAAAAAAATAACGAAACAAAAACTCAATCATTGAAAAGATCCTCGTCTAGAACACAAGCATATTTGAAGTCTTCTTCTCTTGAGTTTAACACTGCGTTAGAGCGACAGCACTCTTACGCAATTTTGGGTGAGTCTACTTACTGCCATGTGTTGTGTTTTCAGTTAATTTTTGTTCAGGGAAAGGGAGGGGAGTGGGGAAAGGATAGGAAGGAAGGTAAAGGACGGAAGGGGATTTCATTCACTAGAAAAGAAGTGGAGCTCTTAAATTTCTGAACATAGTTCTGTCAGGGTTAATAGTATAGTTATCGTCAAATAAAGATTTAATTATGTCATTTGTATGGTTAGTTACTTTGTCAAGAAACCGCGTATGTTTCTCAACAAGGTACTCCTGGATGGTATCAACGCTCAGGTCTGTATGTAAGTCCGCATTGCGGACATACCACGGAGCGCCGACCATCCTGCGGATTACCTTGTTTTGAAACACCTGCAGTTTCTTTTTATTTTGACGTGTTGTCTGTGAAAAAACTGTTGCACCGTAAAGTAATGTAGGTCGGATAACTTGTTTGTATAGTAATAGTTTGTTTTTTAGAGTTAGTTTACTGTCCTTGTTAAGTAATGGATAAAGCAATCCCACTAATCTGTTGCATTTATTCAGTTTATGATAAATGTGGGGGGTCCAAGAAAGTTTACTGTCCAGTAATAGTCCTAGATATTCAATTTGATTTGTCCATGTAATTTCGGAATCGTCTAGTATGAGAATGTCAATATGCTTGTCACGTTTGTTGGAGATCAGGACGGCTTGGGTCTTATCGATGTTAATTTTAATTTTCCATAATTTTGCCCAGTCAATTATGGAGTCAAGTGATTTTGTAGTCGTCTATGTATGTGATGTAAGTACTTTTGGGAAGTGTAAATACAAGTGTCATCTGCGTAGATGGACATTTTAGTATGGGGGATTAATGGGGATGTCAGCCGTGTAGAGATTATAGAGCAGTGGAGCCAGGACAGAACCTTGAGGAACTCCCGCTTCTATAGGTCTGACATTTGAGAAAGTATCTTTGTTGAGTTTGACACGGAAACTTCTGGCTTTAAGGAAATTAATGAGCATTTTGACAAGAGATAATGGCAGAAAATATTTGTCATGAAGTTTGACTATGAGTCCAGCATGCCAGACGCGATCAAAGGCTTTCTCAACATCCAGCAGCACAACACCCGTTGAGGCGCGGCGCTGCAGGGCGCGAGTAGTTTCTTCAACCAACCTGGCAAGCTGAATCTCAGTGGAATGATTTGGACGAAAACCAAATTTTTCGTCAGGGAGAATGCTGTCCAGATAATGTAAGGATTTAAGTTTTTCATGAATTATTTTCTCAAGAATTTTAGAAAGTGAAGACAGAAGACTGATTGGACGGTAATTTTGTGGAAATTGATGATCCTTATCTGGTTTTGGGATCAGTATCACGGTTGCCAGTTTCCATGCTTTAGGAAAGTAATTGAGTTTAGGGCATTCGTTTAGAATGCGAGTTGCGAGTAAATGTCGCGACGACGTTGTCCGGAAGGTTTTTGAGGACTTTATTACTGATATCATCGTAACCAGAGGCTTTTCTGCTGACTGAGCGGGCAATGAAAAATTTTACGTCGTCGGTGGAGACAGGTATTATTCTATCATTCGGAGGAATAGGCAGCCTACAGATTTCTCTATAGCGCCTGTCTACGTCCTCTTCATGAACAATATCATTATCAGGGTGTTCATTAGGTGAAAATTGTGATTGAAGTGAGTCAGCAAAAGCACTTGCTTTTTCTTCATTAGTATACACCAAACCAGCTCTACCATGAATGGGGGGAATCTGCCTATTTTACTTATTTAAAAGAGAACGAATTATTTTCCATAGAGAATTATCCTCAGGGGACAAGTCAGCCCATTTCTCATTTTTGTGTTCCTTAATTGAACTTTTAATTAAGTTCGTATAAGTCTGTTACATTCAAGTTTAATATTTGGGTCTCTAGTCCTTATTGCCAGCCTTTTAAGTCGATTTCTCAACTTAATTTGCTGGCGTATGTGATGTGGTAGTGAGTATGGGTTATTTTGTTTGGTAGTTATAGTAATTTTAGTGCTATTTAAACAGTCATTTACTTCTTGAGTAAACGTGTTAATAGCACTATCAATGTCCAGAGTCGTGTTTAACACGACTGGTGGGATATGATTGGCTTCAAGATGTGATTTGAATTGCGGATAGTTGTTAAAGGAAAAAGTATGGTGAGTATTTACATCTGGGACCTGACCACCAACTTTAAGACTAATTGGAGTGTGGTCGGAGCTGAAATCAGTAATATTGCCAATATCAATGTTATAAGGGACATTTTTGGATAGAGCAAGGTCTAGAATGTCAGGGGTAATATTATGAAAATGAGTTGGCTCTAAGGGAGCATGAACTGAGATGAAATTGTCCTGGGTGAATTGAAGTAGAAAAGTGCCCGCTGTATTATTAGCGCGACACCCCCAGGCTCTGTTTTTGCAGTTTAAATCTCCTGCAACTAAGGTCGGAGCATCAGAACCGAAGAAGAGGTTCATATCATCACGGGTTAAGCGTTTAGAAGGAGGCTTATAAACGCTGAAAATATTAAGCGGGCCATCTGCAAGGTGGACAGTGTATTCCACATTGTCAGAGGCAGGAGTGGCAATAGTATCATGAGGAATATTGTTTTTAACGAAAATGGCAGTACCACTACCAGCACGGTTAGGTCTGTCATTTCTGTATATAGTATAGTTTTGTATGTTGTAAATTGTATGTGGTCTAAGCATAGTCTCCTGGACTAATGCTATGTCAACATTATCCTCATGTAAGAAGGATGCAAACTCATATCTTTTGGGAAAGATAGAGTTTGCATTCCAAGAGATTATGTAAAGTCGTGTGGGTCTAGGTGTATCACCCATTATCTAGTTTAGTTGTGTTAAAAATTTGAGGCTAGGATGATTATTAATCATCTCAGCCAGTCTATTCAGTTTATTTGAAATCTCTTGCTCTGAAAGAGTCAAGAGACTCAAAATGGGGTGTTGAGGTGGTTTAGTATTTGTACTGTTATTGATATTGTCTGTATTCAATTTCATTTTTTGAGCGTAGTTCACAGATGGGGTTGTAGTTTTAAATAAAGCTGCTGTGTCCCTTGGGGGAGAAGTGCTTTGATCTGGTGTTGGTTTGGGGGTGAAAGGGACATTTCTGTTTGGACACTTCGGACAATTTCTATAATTGGCCGGATGTGCACCTCCGCAATTGACGCATGTAGGGGGAGAGTTTATGTCTTTGGTACATTTAGTGTAGAAATGATTGCCAGCACACTGATGACATTTGGGCTTTGCATAGCAATTAGACAAAGTATGCCCAAAATGCTGACAATTGTGGCATTGTGGAACATACTTTTTATCCTTACTATGCTGGGCCTCAATAGTCACCGGCATGTAGCTAATCCTCTTGATGTCGTAGAATCTGTCAGCTTCATCTGGGAAGACCAGGAGTTTTATCAAAGAAGAGCCTTTGAGGCCGCGACTTTGAGAAGGTTTGAATCTTTGAATCTCTTTAGGAGAAAAACCCAAAGATTCAAGCTCCTCCTGGACTTCACCAAGATTCTTGATCACCGCATTTATCATTTTTTCGTCTGGAAAAAAATAAGAGTGGAATTCAATTTTTTGTTCTTTAAGAAATTTAGTGATGCCACGATGGTCATCAGGAGAGTCAGGAGTGATGGAAATGCCCAATCGGTCTTTTTTAGGGTCAGTAAAAAATAGTTTCATGTCCGTAAGTTTTGTTAAAAGTTGTTTAGGTCTCAAAATATTCCTTAAAATAATTGGAACGGTTTTTTTTAGGGGGATTGCTTTTTGTGGGAATGGTTTCTGTACTCTGTGAGGTATCGTCATGTTTGTTCTTTAGATAAGTCATTAATTTTTTGTTAGTACTGTGAGGAAAGTTGAGCGAAGCAGTATGTTTTGGTTTTTTAAGTGGAGGAAAATCAACATCAGAGACGTCCATTTTCTCCTGGGAAATGACATCTTCATCATCAGATACGGGGCGGTCAATTTGAATGTCCATGTCATGGTCTGTATCTGATGGAGTCGGTACGTCCTTGTCAATTTTACATGATTTATTTTTATTAGTTCTTGTCGTTTTCGTCTTTGATAAATTATTACTCCTAATTTCCATTTGAATTGTATCTAATGAGGCTTGTAAAGTCTGTAATTGTTCTTTTAGCATTTTATTCTCTTTTTCTAAGAGCTCATACCTCCTTTCTAGTGACTGAAATGTTGATAAAGGAACTAGGGTGTTTTGTGTGCTTTGTGATGTCGCAGCTTTCAACTCACCCTTCTGCATTTCATTTTCGGTTTCAGGATATTGGGAATTGGAATCAGGAATTTTTTCAGGACCAGGATCAAAAATAGGGGTTTTCGGCATCTTGCCAATAACGCAGGAAGCCAGCTTTTTCTTCCGCAACAAAAGGTTATTTTTCTTGGTGATAAAATATATCTGGGCGATTTGGCATGCAAATTGCAGGGCTTTAGCACAGAGCAAAATTACAACACAGTGACAAATTTTTTGACACTTTGTCAATGTATTTGAAGTCTATTCCATGGCAGTGAAGGCATATAGACCTGCAGCAGCCGACTTGTGAACCTACACATTTTTATTTTGTCATCAGTTTAAAATGAAACAGTCGAGCGGTGGGACTTGGGTGGGACGTTT